TGCGGTGTTGGCAAACCGGCCGTGAGATCTCGGGGTCTGACGGGCACCAGGTCCTGGTGGGGGCGGGACGCGGGGAAACGTTTTAGCTGCAGCCCCTGGAAACGCGCCGCGGCCCGGCCTGGCTCTAGGGCCGGAGACTCCCTGTTCGGCGTCTGCTCCGAGCGGCCTGGCTCCCGCTGTTAGGCAGGGGCCGGGAACCCGCGGCCTAGGGGTCGGACATGGCCCCACCCTGCCTGGAACTGGCCTCTGAAGCTCAGGGAACCCTCCAGTATTGGGGAGCCTGCCCTGGCTTTCTGGACACCCCGTCCCCGCCACTGTCTGCACCACACACAATCTACTTGGTTGGACCGCCCTGCTCTGTGGTGAATGTGGAGAGTCGGGCCACATCAGTGAGGTTTTTTGGGGTTTGTTCAGTTTTGCTTCTCACTTGAATGACCCTGCCCACATAAGGTCCCCCGCCCAATTTTTTTTTTATAGGGGAGGCAAAGTCTGTGCAGGGACCAAGCTGACTGAGTGGGTAGGGAGATCCCACAACTGGCTGCAAGGCCAAGGGAGAAGCCAAAGGGTAAAATTGGGGCAGGCAGCAGAGTTAAGAATAGGATCCGAAAAACCAGAAAAACATCCCTGAGGGTGGGGAGCATTTGCAGTGGTTGTAAAAATACAGGAGGGGACAGCACCCCCTTCCCAGCTCTGAGTGGGTGGCTAGTGCCCGGAGAAGATGCCCGTTTCCTACTTGAGAAGTGGACACTGCCTAAGGAGGTGAGATTCAGCAGCTGGGGTTTGCCTGTGAGAGCTGTTGTTTTGCCTCCTTCCTAGCACTCTATTTAGTAAGAAGATGTCCTGGGTTAAAGGCCTGGTGCAGGGTCCTGGCTTGTTCTTCAAAACGGATAAATTGTCCCATATTTTCTGTCTCCCTCCCCATCAGAGCTGGTGAGTCCTGCTGCTGCCCGATCCCTGCTCCCAGCTCCCTGCCCACAGGTAGGGAGTGGAGTCCAGTGGCTGCCCTAGAGAGTGTCCCCCCTCTTTGCCAGACTGGCTCAGAGGAGAGCACCAGATTCAGTTCTGGTGTTGTAATAGTCTAGTCTGTTAACCAATTAAGCAAAAACGTATAGGTTAATGCTATAGACAACATACTCCTCCTCCTCCCCCTCCCCCCCCACACACTTGACAGTAAATTTTTTAGCAGGCCGGCGGGTCCTGGCTTGAAATGGATCTGAGACCTACCCCTGCTGTGTGTCTGCGTTTAAAGTGTGTTAGGAAACGGGCTGCTGTCACCCCGTGCTACTTTAACAGAGGTAGCAGCACAGGGTGACAGGCAGCTGGTCCACGAGGAGAGCTGCTTTTTAAGTTGGCTCCCCTCTCAGATCAGGTCCTGCCTGGCACCCTGCACTGCTGCCTCTGATTCTAACGGGTTGTCCTGCTCCACTGTCTCACTCCTCAGTAGTCCCCCGGTAACCGACCGGGGCGGAGGGGGACCTGGGCCCGTGCCCTCTCCAGGTCCCAGCCCAGGGCCCTAAGGGAGTGCGTCCAAGACACGCTGCCTGACCGGGGGGGCTACAGCCGCAACACACCGGTCCCCGGGGTTTCTGACCCCGTCCTGGGCTGCTTCCTCCGACCCTTTCGGGTCCGTATGGCTCAGTCTGGTTCAGCGGGGCACCAAGGGTGACTTACCCACTTGGGCCACAGGGCCCTCGGTTTCCCGTCCTGGGTCCACCGTCGGTCCTTCCACCGTGCTGCTGTCCGTGGGGGTTGTCTGTTCGCCGTCTTGCCGGAGCTCGCTCTCTCTTTTGGTGTCCCGGCCGCCTGGCTTTTAAACCCGGCACCCTTGCTCAGGGACGCGTGCGCCCTGCGGGAGGGGTGGGCCGGCGCGTTAGAGCCGTCCGGATGGCAGTTTCTCGCGGCACCCCCGGTGTGGGGTGCGGGGTCGGGGCTTGAGCTCCCTGCTGCCCTGCTCCCGCCTACGCTGGCCGCCGCCGCCGAACAAGCGGGGCAGAGCCACTCAGGCATCTCGGCGCCTGTCTCCCGCGGCGCCCCAGTGCGGGGTTGGGGCTCGCGATCCCCGCCGCCCCGTCACACTGATATATAGGAGTGGCAGCAGTGTGGAGTCCCAGGGGGCTCCTCAGGAGTGAGGCTAGAACACACTGGCTGCTGGCCCCACACCCAGGGACTATAGAATAGTCGAGTGACGGGCAGAGCCACTCAGGCATCTCGGCGCCTGTCTCCCGCGGCGCCCCAGTGCGGGGTTGGGGCTCGCGATCCCCGCCGCCCCGTCACACTGATATATAGGAGTGGCAGCAGTGTGGAGTCCCAGGGGGCTCCTCAGGAGTGAGGCTAGAACACACTGGCTGCTGGCCCCACACCCAGGGACTATAGAATAGTCGAGTGACTCATAAGAATTCTAGAGGTTACTTGACTATTCAATTAACCAATATTTAACATCACATGTGAGCTTTGTCAGACACCCAAGCATGTGTGTGTGAGGGTGTCCCCCTTCCCTTTTGAATCCTAAAGCCTTAAAGATAAGAAGGCTCCAGCTACGCAGTCATTATGCTTCACAGGGATTTGATGTTAATTTGAACCTTTGTGCTGCTAAGTTCTGATGGGTTGCTGCTGAGCTCACTTGAATATTACTAAACTGTTACTAGTTAATATTATTAAACTGTTCCAAGATAGTCAAGACAGAAGCAGACTGTGAAGAAGTTCAAAAAGATCTCACAAAACTAAGTGATTGGGCAACAAAATGGCAAATTAAGTTTAATGTGGATAAGTGTAAAGTAATGCATGTTGGAAAAAATAACCCCAACTGTATATATAGTATAATGGGAGCTAATTTGGCTATGAGAAATCAGGAAAGAGATCTTGGAGTTATCATGGATAGTTTTCTGAAAACATCTATATAGTGTGCTGAGGTGGTCAAAAAGGCAAATAGAATGTTAGGAATTATTAAGAAAGGGATAGAAAATAAGACACACTGGCAGCTTCTTACGCAAGAACTCTTTTGCAGAAGAGTTCTTCTGCAAAAACTCTTTCAGAAGAGAGCATCTACACTGGCATGTGCTTTTGCACAAGACATGTGCTTTGGCGCAAGAGCATCCATGCCAGTGTAGATGCTCTCTTGCACAAGAAAGCTCTGATGGCCATTTTAACCACAGGGCTTTCTTGCGCAAGAAATTCATGTTGCCTGTCTACACTGGCCTCTTGTGCAAGAAGCCCTGATTTTATACAGTAGAACGTCAGTTTACTTGCTCAAGAACACATGGCCAGCATAGACAGGCAGCAAATTTTTGTGCAAGAGCGGCCGCTTTGGCGCAAGATCACGCCAGTGTGTAGACAGCCAGAATATCTTACTCACCCTGTATAAAACTATGGTGTGCCCACATCTTGAGAACTATGTACAGATGTGGTCTCCACCTCAAAAAAGATATTTTGGCCTTGGAAAGGGTTCCGAAAAGGGCAACTAAAATGATTAGGGGTTTAGAATAGGTCCCATATGAAGAGAGGCTAAAGCAACTGGGACTTTTCAATTTGGAAAAGAGGAGACTGAGGGGGGATATGATAGAGGTATATAAAAACATAAGTGGTGTGGAGAGGGTGAACAAAGAAGAGTTATTCATTTGTTCCCATAATTTAAGGACAAGAGGACACCAAATGAAATTAATGGGTAGCAGTTTTAAAACTAATGAAAGGAAGTTCTTCTTCACACAGCACATAGTCAACCTGTGGAACTACTTGCCAGAAGAGGCTATGAAGGCTAGAACTATAACAGAGTTTAAAGAGAATCTAGATAAATTCATGGAGGTTAGGTCCATAAAAGGCTATTAGCCAGGGGGTAGGAATGGTATCCCTGGCCTCTGTTTGTCAGAGGCTGGAGATGGATGGCATTAGACAAAATTGCTTGATCATTGTCTTCGGTCCACCCCCTCCAGGGCACTTGGTGCTGGCCACTGTTGACAGACAGCCTACTGGGCTAGATGGACCTTTGGTCTGAGCCAGTACTGCCATTCTTATGTTCTAATATCAGTCATTTTACCAGGTGTCCAGTATCCAACTTAGGGAAATATGGTAATCCTCAGCCTGCTTCTTTCTCACATTGCTGGCCACTTGGGTAGATTTTGCTTCTTGAATGTTCACTACAGGCCAGGGTTTAAATGTGAAAGCTCCAAGATACTTTAGAAAATAATTTTGTTACTTACAAACTTATTATCAAAATCAGTATTTCCATAAGTAATTCCCCATCCTGCAGCCACCAAAGTACCCACTTTACTTTTCTCTTACTTTATTGTATATACAAATATTTTTTATTTTACTTGTGTATTTGTACTTCTACTCACATAATTTGGTCCCATATTCCCTGTGTGCTTCATCTAATGTTACAATACATTCCAATCAGGCTCTTCTCCTGCCAGGCTGCAGAACACCCATGTCTTCCCCCAGCTCAGCCCCTGGCCTGCAGAACCAGGGACAGGAAATGGCTGTGGCGGAGCCAGTGAGGTTCGAGGAAGTGGCTGTGTATTTCTCTGAGGAGGAATGGGCTCTGCTGGACCCGGGCCAGAGAACCCTCTACTGGGATGTGATGCAGGAGAATTATGAGTCTGTGAGCTGGCTGGGTAAGGATTCCTGTCCCCTCGGGTATCAGAAGTTGGGTTGGGTTTGGTTGAGGCCCCACAATGTCCTCTGCCCCCCAGTGTCAGGAGTATCAGCCCCAGTAATCCTGGCTCCCACTTTCAGGAGAAGCAGGTTTGGGGACACAACAATAGTGCTGCTTTTCCCACAACCAAGGTCTCCATGTGCTTCCCACCATCTTGCCCTTGTTGTGCTTTGGCCGGAGGTGTGAGTAGAAGGGCTCAGGCAGGAATGGCAGGTACCAGAGTTCTGGGTCTGGCTGCTGTTAGTGCTGGCGGGGTCCCCTTGTGGCAGTGGGCTGAGCCTCTGGAAGGAGGGTGCAGTTCCCAGAGTCCTTCCCTGCCTGTTGCTAATCTCTGACATGCTGGTTTTTGCCAGTGGGAGGGGCTGGGTGCTGAAGCTGAGGGACAATGGATGAGGTAGTTCACGCTCTGTGGGTACGTCTACACTAGCCCCCTAGATCGATCTAGGGAAGCTAATGAGGGTGACCGGAATTGCAAATCAAGCCCGAGATTTAAATATCCCGCGCTTGATTTGCATGTTCCCGGCCAGTTGCCATTTTAGAAATTGACTAGCCCGAAGTAACTGCCCATGTCTACACGCGGCAGTGAAACGGGCTTCAGATTTAAAGTCCTAAATCGAATTAGGTGGTATTCCTCCTGCAATGAGGTTTGCCACCTAATTCGATTTAGGGGCTTTAAATCAGAAGCCCGTTTCAGTGCCACATGTAGACATGGGCAGTTACTTCGGGCTAGTCAATTTCTAAAATGGCAACTGGCCGGGAACATGCAAATCAAGCGCGGGATATTTAAATCTCGGGCTTGATTTGCAATTCCGGTCACCCTCATTAGCCTCCCTAGATCGATCTAGGGGTCTAATGTAGACATACTCTGTGAGTGTTTTCTCAGGGGTAGCTCTGTAGTAGAGAAATGTGAGCAGAGCTGTCCTTGCATTTCAGGCACAGGCTGGGTTTCCTTAAAAGGTCAGCTTCATTCTCTCTGGGACTCACTTGCCTCTGTGTGCAATGGAGATAATCACATCATCAGTCTTGTTTTTTTAGAGTGAAATATCTTTGGGTAGGGACTTTTTCTTCCTGTGGGAATGTTTAGCTTCATGCTCAGGAGACCTATGTTCAGTTCTCTGCCCTTGTCACAGACTTTCTGTGTAACCTTGATCAAGTTCCTTAGACTTTGTGTGCAGTCTTCTCTCTCTGCAGTAACTATTATAGTGTGTCTCCATTTCATAGAGTGGGGGAAGGATACCTACACTAAAGAAGGGAGATGTTTAGCTCCATATGAGCACCCCGATAGCACAGTGGGGTCTTGATTCACACCAGAGTTCCCAGGTGCTGCTGTGATTGATAATTTTGCTTCCCATAGCAACTGCGGTGCCATATGAATTGCTGCTAGCAGCACAGAATCTCGTTACGGCTGTTCAGGGGCACCCTTTTCTGGAGCTCTGATGCCAGTGGCACTGGCAGAGTGTGCGGCTTGCCCATGTAGCACACCTCAGGGTTGTCACTAAAGAAAGACCCAGACTCCATTTGGAGGCTACGGTGCTCAGTTGTTTATTGTGAAAGGAGCAGGATGCTAGTGTCCCAGCTCCTCAGGCACAGGTATAGTGAGACTTCTCCCAATGCAATAAAGGTAGCAGCTCAGCCAGCATCAACATGCCCCTTCTGTGCCTTCTCCTGTCATACATTGACACAAACAAGATGCATGTTGTTCCATGTGTTGCTACCCTCTTGGCCTTCTGTCTGTTTGATAATCCCCCATATCCCGTTCATGTGCACAAGGGTCAGTCTCTTTCTGAGCTATCTATTAGGACTGAATGTTTGCAGTTACTGCAGAGATCAGAGTGTTGATTGTCCTCCTCGCCGCTCAGGAATGTGCTTGCCTGATTAGTTGGTACCTAGTGCCCCACCATTCTGCCAAACCCTGGCCTCCTCTAGTTCAGAAATAATGGATATTAACAATATAATCATAGTCATAGTCATCACATCAGAACATTCCCATTGACACGGGACCCAACACACTTTGCACAAGGTTCCTTGCAGTTGTGTAACAGTGGTAGCACAATGATCTCCATGGTCATGTCACAGGTGGATCTTCCCAACACTAAATGAAGATCTAAGAAGGGGTGGGGCCGAAGCTGAGGGAAACGCACTCACAAGGTGTAAAGGTGATAGCTTCTGTGCAACCCTGGAGGGGCACCAAATCAAAGGCCAGGCTCACCACAAGTGGCAGACTGGGAAACCACACAAAGGCTGCTGCTGGCAGAGTAGAACCGAGGCTGCAGAGGAGGAGCTGAGCACCAGCCACAAGCACCAGAGAAGCATCACAGCCCAGCTCTGTCCTGGTTGGCCCCAGGAGAAGACCAGCACCACCTTGGCCAGCTATGACAATGGCAGCTGTTGTGGGTAGCTGACAGGGCCCACCCAGGCACTGACGACTGTGATCAGGAGAATGGAGCATAGGCAAGGACCTGAAGCAACCAGCCAAGGGTTCATTTTGCTGTTTAGCAACTTCCTCTACCTCCTTCTGGCTTAAGTACAGCATCTGAGCCAAAGAGCAGGAAGTGCTCAGCCAGGAGCTTTGTGGACAGAGCTTTGGGGAGCTAGAGCTCTGCTAGGTCCTTGCTCTCCAAGACCTAGAGATCTGCTATGTGGCCTCTACAGTCTGAGCCCTGTCTGGGAACCTTTGTGTAAGACTTGCCAGCCCTCACTAGAGCTCCCCTTCTGAACAGTGTGTTCGTGTTCTGGATGCCAGGGGGTTGGAACAGGCCATGAGGGAGACTGATTTGTACCCTAGAGAGTGCAGCAGAGTGCTCAGCACCCCTGGGGAATGAGCTGGGCCATTCCCAAGGTGGGGGGGATGCACCTTTACTGCAGGTGAGTGTGGCCTGGGCTCTTGTACCACCCAGATCCCAGTTCCTGCAAGGTGAGGAAGGAGCCTCTCTGGGGGTGACTCAGATCCTGGCTCTGGAAGCAGTAAAGGCCTTAATGAACAAGATCAGTACTTAGTTATTTGCTTTCCAAACAGGATTTCCATTTTCTAACGCTCATGTGATCTCCAGAGTGGAGTTACAGGTCCCAGATTCCCAGAGCTGTGAGGAAGGGGAAATTATCAGCAACACCCACAGAGGTAAACAATCAGTTAAACTGCCTCAGAAACCAGTTTATAGCCGGTGTAACTTGTGTGTTTTCATGAAGTCTGTCTGACTCTTCAGTTTGTCTTCAGTTCTAGTCAGAGCATGGTGGGTGGGGAAAGGCTGGGTTCTCTCATTTGTGGAAGGGTTGTGAAGAAGAATTAACTCAGCTCATGATAATTCAATCATTATTTGAGTGTTTATCCCCTTTTTCTATTCCTCTTTCAGAGTTTTCTTTCAGCTCATCATGGACAATAACTCCTGTCTGGATTATTTCTCTATCCCAACAGGTGATGGAATGCTAACTGAGAACCACGAGAAGAGTCTTTAGCAGGAAGGACTGGAACAAGTGACTCCATGTGGGATGTTATTGGGAAGACCTGAAGGGCATGTTTCCCAGATATGTGAGCAAGGAGAGACCTGTCAGAGTCAGCATAGCCCAGAAAGGCAGCATGGAAACCATCCAGGAGAGGGACAGGGTAAATCCAATCACAGGAGCAGAGAGGAGAAAAGAAATATAGAAACTGTTGAACAGAAAATCCCCCATCAACAGTCACCCTGCACTTGTAGTGACTGTGAAACTCTTGAACATCAAAGAGCCCACACAGGAGAGAAACCCTTCAAGTGCTTTGACGCTGGGAAAAGCTTCAGTGAGCACTCACGCTTTACGAACCATCAGAAAATATATATAAAAGAGAGACCCATAACTGCTCTGACAGTGGGAAAAACTTCAGTAGAAGTGATCACCTTGTTAGATATAGGAGGACCCACACAGGAGAGAAACCTTTCAATTGCTCTGACTGCGGGAAAAACTACAGCTGCAGGTCTAACCTTGTTACCCATAGGAGGACCCACACAGGGGAGAAACCTTTCAATTGCTCTGACTGCGGGAAAAGCTACAGCTGCAAGTCAAACCTTGTTACCCATAGGAGGACCCACACAGGGGAGAAACCTTTCAATTGCTCTGACTGCGGGAAAAGCTACAGCTGCAAGTCAAACCTTGTTACCCATAGGAGGACCCACACAGGGGAGAAACCTTTCAATTGCTCTGACTGCGGGAAAAGCTACAGCTGCAAGTCAAACCTAGGAAGATCCACACAGGGGAGAAACCCTTTAGCTGCTCTGATTGTGGGAAAAGCTTCAGGAAGAGCTCAGACCTTATTACCCATAGGAGGAGACACACCGGAGGGAAACCTTTTAATTGCTTTGACTGTGGGAAAAGCTTCAGTCAGAAGTCGCACCTTGTTAAACATAGGAGAACCCACACATGAGAGAGACCATTCACCTGCTCTGGCTGCAGGAAAAGTTTCAGTCAGTGCTCCTGCCTTACTAGCCAACAAATAATACATACAAGAGAGTCACCTCATAACAGTTCTGATTGCAGAAATGGCTTCAAACAGAGGTCAGACATAGGTCAGGTTCAAATCCTGCTGCCAGCGAGGCCTGTGTTTTGGCTACACCCTTTGCAAGGGCAACAAGCTACCCAAGCCCTGAGTCCCCTGGCCCAGAGTAGAATGCTCCCGTCCTATCTGAAGGGACACCTGGGAAAGGGAAAAGAGGCTACAAGAAGCAAGTGGGAAACAGATAACAGGGCCCTGCCTAACTGATAGGACAAGCAGTTGGGCTTTCAGCAGAGCCACCTCCCCGTGGACATAGCCAGGGGGGCCAAGTGCCTCCCGTGGCCCCTCCCACTCTCTACTTCCTCTCCCAAAAAGCCAGCCCTGGTTGGGCAGAAAGGTGCTGAGCCCCAGCGGCCTCCATTTGCCTGGCAGTGGCAGAAGTGATGGAGGCAGCCCCCGGGGTTGCTGAGTTGTTCACTTGGGGAAGTGGCTGCAGGGAGCCAGACAGCTGGGAGGGAGCCAGAGCCAGAAAGGATCAGGGGATGGGAAAAGGGCGAGGCAGAGAACAGAAACAGGGCAGCAGAAAAGAACATCCATAAATGTCAGTGAGAGGCAGAGGTGGCAAAGTGGCAGCAGCATTTCATCTCATAACGCTTCTGGAAAGGGGCAGCCCCAGGAGGTAGCTGGACTTTCTTTTGCTCCTCCCCAGTTTTCACTTTCTTGTATGATAGAGGGTACAAGGGTATGTCCCTGTACCTTTCCACAGTGCCCCTCTCTCACAGCCCAGAGCCATGGTTCCCTCTGTCAGGCCTGGACAATATAGGCCAGCAGATCCAGAGCACCAAGCTTACCTGATTTGGCCTACTAAATGCAGAGAGAAGTCTCAGGCACATTCCCTACTTGCCCCACCCCTGCACACGGCTGAGTTGCTGGGCTTTTTGTGGTTCATTCCAGTGGGTGAGGGGCTTCATGTGCTGTCCCTGCTCCTAGCATGTTTCTGGCCAATGGGAGCTGCCTGCTTAAAGCCCTCCCACCTCCACTCAGGCTTTTATTTACCCATGCACGTGACCTCTGCGGCCTGTGCAGGAAAGGAGATGCCTGAGAAACTTGCCTGGCTGCTGGCCAGGAGTTAGCCACGTAAGTCTCACCCTCCCTTCCCCTACCCACTGGCACTTCCCATGATGAAAGAGAAAAGTGTTGGCAGTTTTAATGAGCATGGATGGGGCTGTTCAGTGAAAGTGCTGAATCCTAGCCACTAGACCACCAGGGAGACAAAAACCTGAAATGTTTGCTCAGCTCCAATAGTGTTTCATAGGCCATTTTCTGTCTCCTTCAGGATGTGGGTCCATTCCCCATTGCCCAGAGGGGAAAAGAACAGACAGCAAACAACATCAGAACAGCTGGACTGGGTTATGCCAATAGTCCATCTAGGCTAGGATCCTGTCTCACGACAGCAGCCAATTCCGTTGCCCCGTGTCATGAACATGAGGGTTAGCCAGAAGCCTGGGAACTAAGGAGTTAACCTTACCTAGCCAGGTGGAGTGGCCAATAGGAATGTAGGTAGGAATTTCAAACTGGGGCAAAGGAATGTTTGGTTTCTCCCGCCTCTGTTCTGGGAGTTCTTCCAGCTACTGAAGGAGACAGACATTTCTCTCTCTCCAAGAAATGATTCTTCACTTTCTGTAAGTAGGATAAAGTTTAGATAAATCCGTTAGGTTTTTTTATTTTATAGTTTGGGAAATGGGATCTGATGTTTTGGCTTTCCTTTGTAACTCAGTTATAGGCCCATGGTGGAGTTTCTCCATGGGTATATTATTTGTTATTTTTTCCAGCTAGTCATTATGCTTGCAACAGGAATATTGTGGTGATAATAAAAGTTTTTTCTTGTCTGTTTTTTAAACTGGTATTGGTTAATAGTTGTGTCCTGGTTTGTACTTTTGGGGCTGAGATTTCCCAAGTAGTCTCTCCCTGATTTCTTTATTGATATTTGGGTGGTGGCAGCGGAGATTTTATTCCCAAAATCTAGGATGTTAAGATTTTGGGGGGGGGGGGGGGTTTTAAAGGTTTTGGGATCCTTTTGCTGGCCCTGACTTCTGCATTTATAGTGCCAGAGTGGGGAAGGAGCCATGACACCCTGAGAGAATCACCAGAACAGACAATTATCAAGTGGTCCCTCCCCTGTCACCCATTTGCAGCTTCTGGCAAAAACTGGCTACGGACACCTGTCCTGTCCCTCCTGGCTAAAAGCCATTGATTGACCTTTCCTGCATTAAATTATCCAGTTCTTTTTTGAACCCTCTTGTAGACTTCATCTTCACAACATCCTTTGGCAAGGAGTTCCACTGGTTGACTGAGTTGGGTGCAAAAATGCTTCCTTTTGGTTTAGTTTAAATTGGTTACCTACCAATTTCATTCTGTCAGCCTCGTTTTTGCAAAGGAGAAAGAGATAATTTCTTTCTTACTTTCTGAGCCCCTGTCATTGTTACATAAACCTCTGTCCCATTGCCCCTTAGTCATCCCTTTCCCAAGCTGAGAAGAAGTTCAATGAACTCATGGGAGCTGCTGTTCCAAAGAAGAGGCATTTCCTGCAGAGAAGACGGCCAAGCCCAATCCCCTTGCACAAAGCCCCAGGAAATACCAATGGACACTGGGAAAGCTACTTCTTGGGCAACGCTATTGAATGGATCTGATTGGCTGTTGGGCCAATAATGCCATCAACAGAAGATTCCCAATGAGACTTCTCAGCCCAAGTGCAAAGACTGTGCAGTTGCCCATTCTCACCCTAGTGGCAGAGAGGCAGCACCCTGAGGAAGCAGGTCCTGAGGCAGAGGAGACCTTTTAAGGGAACAGAGTTGTGAGGTGAGAGGAAGGGGAACAAGTCACCTCCTGTCAAGTGAGACATGGAGGGAAAAGGCTGGTTCCGGTGCAAGCTGAGCTCCAAGGACTGGTTCTTGCCCTGGTGGCTTCTTGCAGGGCTTGGCTTGAGAAGCACCAAGGAGCCTTTTTGAAGGGCTAGGGGATTCCTGTGACTGGCTGGGTCTGACGGGAAAGATGTTGGTACTCATGGAAACACAGAGCTGGGTCAGATGTGAGAGCTGGGGAAGTGTGGCCTGAGGACCCCCACACAGATCCTAGCCTGTCTGCTCCGCACCCCCAAATGTCCCCTCAGGCCACTTCCAGAGCAGCCTCACAAGGTGCTGGGCAACCAGGGCCGATCCCCAGTGAGGCCTCTGCCCATTGTCCCATAAGGGCTCCTTTGGGGGTGGGGCAGGAGCTATTTCTCCAAGAGGCTTTTCCCCAGCTACTGTGCAGCACAGAAGGACCCAAGGCTGCCCCCTGGGGGGGAAGGGTCAGTGCTGTCAGGTCCCATGGCTGGCTCCGTCGGCAGCACCTCTGGCTGGGAGCCAGCACTCTGAGCTGTCAAGTTCCTCTGGAAAGCTGGGATTTTCCCTCCAACAACATGACACACGTTCTGTTTGCCCCCTGTCCAGCAGCCTGGGGCATTCACCCTGTGCCAGGGGTATCTGAGAGCGACACTGTCCCCTTGTGGGTGCAGAAGAGAAAACACGAGGGAAGAACCTTGTGTTGAGGTGGGACCACAGCCCAACCAGGCCACTTCCCAGAGCACCAGGAGCCAAATGCCCACCCCAGAGTCACCTGGGCAGGGCCGTTTCCCTGGGGTCCTTAAATCCAGCCACCAACAGCTCTTGTGAGGTGCCTTCCCTTTCCTGCCCCCTCTCACAGTTGCTTTCAATTCTGCCAATGAAACCTGGAGTTAATAGACTCATGAAAGACAAGGGTGGGAAGAGATCACAGGAGGTCTCTAATCCAATTCAACCCCCTCAAAAAATCACCCCAGCCAGAGCTTTGACAAGCCTGGTCTTAAAAACCTCTAGGGATGGAGATTGCACCACCACCACCTCCTTTGGTAACTCATTCGAGTGCTTCACTGCCCTCCTAGTGAAACTTTTTCTTAATCACCAACCTAGAGCTCCCCCACTGCAATGCAAAACCATTGTGCCTTGTTCTGTCATCTGACACCACCATCCCCTATGTACTGCCCCACCCCACAGTCACGTGCATTTCTCTCTCTCTCTCTCTCTCTCTCTCTTGCACACACAAATTTATTGAGCTAGCTCAAGTGGTGTAGCTGTTTAGAAGGCAATACTTGTTGGGAAGTACTTTAAAAAGAAGTGCTGAAGTTATGAGTTCAAGCCTCACCTGAAGCACTGGTTCATACCAGCCCAATGGTTTCATCCATACATCCAGCTTATAAAGCTCGAGTCCCAGCCTAGAGGACACTGAGGAAGGGAGCAGTTAAAATGCCCCTTCACTTCTTGTTTCCTCACCAGAGTGTTGGTCATAATCCACAGATCCACCCTCTGTTCTTCCCCCACCTGTTCCAGGCTCCCTCAAGGAGAGGGAGAAGTGGGGACATGCTGGTGATACTGATAGTGCAGGGCCTTGAAGCCCAGACCTGCTAAATCAAACCCTGTGGCTCAGTGTGTTAAAATGGTAAGAAGAGCCCCTGAGTACTGGGCCCTTTCCCTCCTGAGGACTTGGCAGTGGTGCTGGGAGTGGGGGGGTGTCCAAGACTTTCTACCCTCAGGCTAATTTGGGGCCTTTGGGGAGGAGCCCTGGGAAGTCCCACAGTGTCCCAGACAGGTGGAGTCACAGCCTGTTGGTGCTACAGGCAGAGTGTGGGGGTGAGGATGGTAAAATCCCCTCCCCCCCGCAG